CAATCGACTAACAACCGGGTTCCTACTTACTGCTGGATAAATAGAGGCTTCTGGAGTAAGGAAACTTGCCCAACGTTTCGCCCTGCCCAGGAATTAAAACTGGGTCCTCTCGCTTGTTCTAACCACTACACTTCAGGACTCCTCAAAGGGATAATAGATCACTTTTGGCTGAATAAGTCGGGGGGAGGATATGAGCTTGTTGTGGGACCGGCCAAGCGTTTTCCCACTCCAGCATACAGATATAAACACATTGCATCAATGAAAGTGGCACTTGGCCCATGCTGGAGTATTTACCTTTTTGGTGGGTCAGCTGGATAGTGATGGGTTCTCACACGCTCAAGAGATTCTGACATTCAGTTCCCAAGCATCAACACCAGGGAGCCAGTTCAAACCTAAGGGGACCCTACTTACCTTCCACCCTCTCCTCCTCCCACCCCCAACTAAGTCGGGTTAGTCATTAGTTGGTCATTTTACATCCATCAAGGATGGGTTTGAGCCCTAACTAGGATGGTAAGAACCAAGAAATCCCAGAGAGCTTACTGGTGGGCAACACAGCTCTGCATTAAATGCGTGAGAGCAATGCCACCTGTCCACATCTCGGAAACACGTTCCTTCTCATTGAGCAATGGTTCCATTATTTGGAGGTGCACAGCTGCTTACCACTCTGCAAACAAGTTGAGGTGGATTCAATACACTAGATGTATGGACATGTGATCACAAACTCTAACTCCAGGTAATGCCTTCCAGCAACTGGCACCCCCAAACCTCAAGAATTTCTCATCAGCTACATGACGGTCACCTGCCTTCATTGTGGTTGGGAAGACCTTTACAGGGCAGCTTGTGATGTTCTCTAGTTCCAAATCTTAATCCAGGTCCTCATGTGAGGGACCTCTGACTGTGAATCTGCCTTGGCCTTCAGGGTGTGGAGTGACAGGTCAGTGTACGCTGGAATCCTCCCTGCGTTCCCACTAATCCACCTCACTGCTTGATCCTGGAATTTACAAATGGGTTGGAGGAAGTCTCTGCTGCAGCCCCATATAGGTGTTATACACCATAGCTTGACCTGCATTGGGATCTTGTGTCCTTGAACAGAGACAAGGATGACCAGAGTGCAGTCCTTCAGAACTGCATCCAAGCAAAACAAGTCACGTTTATAGAGCAGAGCGACTCTCATGTCGTGAGAGCGTCCCAAGGTGCTAAAAATTTGGTGTCATCGCAACCCCCAGATACTGATAAGAATCAACAATGGGGACTGATGCCCCTTATATCTTCCAATCAATAATACTTCAGTGTTTTCTCTTGAACCGTGCAGAACCATGATTCCTTCAGCCTCTCTGCCCCCAATCTCTGGAACTCCATCCCAGAGTGCCTTCGCCTTGCTCCCTCTCTTGCCTCCTACAAGGCATCTCAAGACCCTTCCTTTCGACCGCACCTTCGGCCACCCTCCTACCCCTACTTTCCCTGTCTTCCACCCCTCCTGATCCCAACCACCTACTCGGGTCCAAATCTCTGACTGTCCAGCGCCTTGTGATGTCTTTTTGACTTGAAACACGCTATGTAAATGTAATTGGTTGTTGTTGTTTTGGGGCACCCACGATCATGCTGCATTGGGTGCCCCAGTCTTCAAGATGGCGGGTGGGGTGATGAGGCCGCTACAGCACAATATCGTCCACAAGCGAGCATTGGAATCCTGACGGAGAACCCTGGAACAGATACACCAAGGCATTCCTGCCCTCAATGCCATCCAACACATTGTTGATGAACACATTGAATAGTGTGGGTGACAATGGGCAGCCTTGCCTTAACCCCCTTTCAAGAGGGGTGGGCTCAGTGAGTCCACCATCAACCGTTACACAGATCTTGGAGCTGGAATACGCATTCCGGACGTATTCCCATGGGTTCCAGTTTCATCACAAGAGCTTCGTGGGGCACGAGGTCGAAAGTCTTTGTGGAATAGCAGCTTTTACTCCACATGAGTATGTTTACAGGTTTCTGTAAATGGTTTGTTTTATCTGATCTTCCAGAGCATTAGCATTATCAGACCAGGCCCAACAGTCTGATAGCTAGTCTTAGCCCATATTGTTTGTTGAATTTGCTCCATAATTGTAATTTTTTTTTGAAGTGGCAGGTTTCTAGGGCATTAGCTTATTAACCTAGCAGTTACTGGTCTTGGACCATAGTTTTGTAGATTTAGGTTTGATCTCAGTGATAATATTTTGCTTGAGACCTAGAAAACTTTGCACATTGAGTACCGAGCACTGCTATAAAATAAGCCCCGGAAGTAAGATTTAGATTGCTTTTCCAAAAGCATGCTTACATGTGCACAGTTCGTTTAGACAGAATACTTCTGACCATAATATTCGGGACGTACTCCTGATGTGAAGGTTGCTATACAAATGTAATTTGCTGTTGTTATTAAACCATTAAGTACAGAATTACTCCAAGCATTTGCCTCGCAAGCGAGAGGACCTGGGTTACATTAAGTGACATGACAATCTGTCCATCTGCGACCAGGGCTCCCTCTGTCTCATCGCCCGACTTGACCTCTCTGCTGCTTTTGACACTGTCGACGACAACAACAGCAAAATTACATTTATAGAGCGCCTTTCACGTCAAGAGGACATCCCAAGTTGGCCACTCTGTCCTTATCCACCACCTCTCCTCTCACCTCAACCTTCACGGCTCTGTTCTTGAATGGTCCATATTGTACCTCTCACACCGTATCCACTTCATCTCCACAAACGGCTTCTCCTCCAACCCCCGCACCGTCTCGTGCGGCATTCCTCAGGACTCTGTGCTTCGTCCCTTCCACTTCAACGTCTATCCCCCAGTGCCTTTGCCTTTCCTCCTTCAACGCCGGTCTCAAGACCTTTCTCTTTGACCATGCCTTCAGCTCCCCTCTCGACTCTCTACCCCCTCCTCGCTCCCTCCCTTCCCTCCCCTCACCATTTCCCCCCAATGCTCGGGTCTTGACCCAACTGTACAGCGCCTTGGGACGTCCTCCCGAAGTGAAAAGCGCTCTATAAATGGAATCTTGTTGTTGTTGTTGTTATATGCTCCCACTTGTTGACATCATCCGTAGACATGGGGTCAACTCCCACATGTATGTGGATGACACCCAACTCTACATCTCTGCCCCCCACCCTTGACTCCAGGACCCACTGACGTCAAGTCCTGGATGAGAGCAAACTTTCTACAGATGAACGTCAACAAGACCGAGGCTCCTGATTGGCTTCCATCAGCGCCTCCACACCTCAGGCCCTGACAGCATCACCATCCCTGGGGCTCACTCCCCCTCACTGCGCCAGTCCCGAACCTTGGGGTCTTGTTTGACCCTCAACTATCCTTCCTACCCCACATCTGTGCCATGACCTGCTCTGCCTCCCCCACCCCCGCAACATGGCCCGACTCCCCCACTGTCTCACACCACAGCCCCCGACACCCTCACACACCCCTCCATTACAGCCAGACTCCACTATGCAAACTCCCTCCTTGTCGGCCCCCAACTCCTCCCTCCACAGACTGCAGATCATCCCAAACTAACTCTGCAGCCCGTGTCCTCTCCCCCACCCCATCACCCCCATCCTCACCCCCACCAGGCTCCCCGACCCCATCAGCCCCATCCTCACCCCCACCAGGCTCCCCGACCCCATCACCCCCATCCTCAGCCCCACCAGACTCCCCGACCCCATCACCCCCATCCCCACCCCCACCAGGCTCCCCAACCCCATCATCCTCATCCCCACCAGGCTCCGCGACCCCTATCCTCACCCCCACCAGGCTCCCCGACCCCATCACCCCCATCCTCACCCCCACCAGGCTCCCCGACCCCATCACCCCCATCCTCACCCCACCAGGCTCCCCGACCCCATCACCCCAATCCTCACCCCCACCAGGCTCCCGACCCTATCTCCCCCATCCTCGCCCCCACCAGGCTCCCCAACCCCATCACCCCCATCCTCACCCCCACCAGGCTCCCCGACCCCATCACCCCCATCCTCACCCCCACCAGGCTCCCCGACCCCATCCTCACCCCCACCAGGCTCCCCGACCCCATCACCCCCATCCTCACCCCCACCAGGCTCCCCGACCCCATCACCCCAATCCTCACCCCCACCAGGCTCCGCGACCCTATCTCCCCCATCCTCGCCTAACTCCACTGGCTTCTCACCACACAGAGGATACAGTTCTAGATCCTAGTCCTCGCCTTCAAAGCCCTCCATGGTCTTGCTCCCCCCGACCTCTGTGACATCCTAACCCCCTACCATCCTGCTCGCTTCTTCTGCTCAGTGGGCTCCGGCCTGCTTCACGTCCCCCCTCCCTCGCTCATCCCACTATTCGCGGGTGGGCCTTCTTCCACTCTGCCCCCACTCTCTGGAACTCCATCCCACAGTCCCTCCGCCTCGCCCCCTCCCTTGCCACCTTCAAGATCCATCTCAAGATCCTCCTCTTCGACCGTGCTTTCGATGTCCCTGCTTCCCCACCGACCTCCCCCACCTCGACCCCCAGTTCCGTTCTGTACCTCTGTCTGTCAAGCGCCTTAGGACGTCCTCCCCACGTGAAAGGCGCTTTACGCAGGGAATTTTGTTGTTTTGTTGTTAAATTATCGGGCAGGGCGAAACATTAGGCAGGTTTCTTTACTTCACACACCTCTGTTTACCTAGCAGTAAGTGGGAACCTGGTTGTAAGTCGATTGGCTGATCGCTTGTCCGGGGGTAATATTTCCATTTTAAAAAAATAATAATTTGGTCACTCAATCCATGACTGTTTGTGGGACACTCACTGCTGTGCGCAATTGGCTGTTGCGTTTTGGCCTGAAAATACAGTCACTCCACTTTACAGTATATTCTGAAGTGCTTTGAGAAGTGTCGAAGATGTGTTAAGGCGCTATATAAAATGCCAGGATTTTTATCATGAAAAGATGTGGTCTGCTCTGTTGCCTTTCATTATTGTGCTAAATGTGCACGAGAGTGATGCTTGGTTTTTGTTCATTGTTTCAGACAAACCCCTAAAGAAACGGAAACAAGACTCATTTCCCCAAGAAACTGCTGGTGCTGGAGGAGGTGCAAATAGGCCTGCCCTCTTGGTTAGCATTGATCTGCACCACGCAGGACGGACAGACGCGCAGGCAGCCCTTCCTCCAGACCCAGAGTGTGTAAAGAAACCATCAGAGCTGGTAGTGCAGAGCACTGAGGAACCTTCAAACTTGCAGCAAGAAGCCATGACCGGAGTATTAAAACCTAAGCCTGAAAACCGTCTGGAGATTCCCAGGAGGAAGTCAGAAACTGAGGGCCAAAAGAATGACAGCCGGCCTGATGTGATCAAGGCCAGACCAGACACGCCAAAGCAAAGGAGCGAGAGCCAGGGTGATGCTGCAAAAGTGAAACATGACAACAGGCGCGACTCAGCCAAACCATTGTCCGACAAGAGACCGGAAATAGTGAAGCAGAAACACGAGAGCAAATCTGAGCATTCAAAGGTAAAAGCCGAGAACAGGTCAGATATGGCCAAAGTCAGGCACGAAGGGCGTCCCGTCTCTGAGGCCACCAGGGAGAAGCGAGAACATGTGCACGAAGCACAGAAACCCAGAGCAGAGGACAAGAGCGATGCTGAGAAGCTCAAAATCGACCCTTCGAAGATCAAGAGACCAGAAACACCAAAGCTGAGCAAAGGCGAGTCTGATTTTAAATCCGCTCGCAATGAGAATGTGAAACACAGCAGCAGGATAGACGGCTCGAAACCAGTGAAAGTGGAGAAGAGAATTCGATCAGAATCTGGGGAGAGAGGGGAGCGAGTGGATCGCAGTGAGCGCTGCTCACCAGAGGAGCAGAGGCTGCAGGGGGACAGCCCAAGGATCAGGCCGGACAATCGAGATGCTCCCAGAGTCAGGCTGGATATAAAAGATCGATCTGCATTCAAACCCAGTCGCAAATCAGACCTGCCATCAGGATCACTGAGCAGTAAAGAAAAGGACGAACGTAGATCTGAGGGGAGCAGGGTCAGACCTGATATCCACAAACCCCCTATTGACAGTAAAGACAAATTTCCCAGCTATTTGCTCGGAGGAGGCAGGTCAGAAGCACTTAAAAACTTTGTCATTCCAAAAATCAAACGGGATAAGGATGGTAATGTTTCCAGTGAGCAGAGAGAACCAAGGAAACCTCTGGATAAAAATGAATTGAAAGTTAAGGCAGAAAAACTCGATTTGGTTGAGGATCTAAAGAAAGGAATAAAACCTGTTGTGGTTCTTCATAAACTCCCCCTGGATGAGGTGCAGAAGTTCATAAAGGACAGTGAAGACAAAAACGCACTGAGGGGCTCCAGCAGATCCAGCAAGAGCAGACCACCCTCCAAGCCAAGTAAAGGTACAGTACACACTTTGCTTTCTACAGAGGTTTCCTATGTACGAGACGGGGAAATCAGCGCAGTGTTTATGAGCAACGTTTCAGGTGTGTAAGACCAGAAGCCCAAGTATGCTATGTGGAGACGAGCCCGAATGTGGTGGGTGGGAGTGGGGACTTGGGGGTGGTGGGTAGAGACAGAAGCCCGGTGGTGGGTGGGGGGGATAGGATAGCATTGGGGGGGTGGGTGTGGAGGATAGCAGGAGTGAGGCGGGAAATAGTGGGGGAGCCTGGGGCAGAGGGATAGCGGGAGAGCCTGGGGGAGAGGGATAGTTGGGGAGCTTGGCGGGGGAGCTTGGTGGAGGGTGCGGGGAACTTGGTGGGGGGGGATGGCGGGGGGGATAGAAGAGGAGCCTAGCGGGGGAGATAGTGGGTGAGCCTGGCGGGAAGGGGGATAGCGGCTGGCGGGAAGCGGTTTAGCGTGGGAGCCTGGGGAGAGAATAGTGGGGGAGTCTGGGGGTGGGTGAGCTTGGAGGCACGAGGGGAGGAGCTGCAGATCTGGGGTTGAGCAGATGCTGAAATTGCTCATTGACTGATTAAAACTGAGTGAATCGCTGGAGAGACTGGAATGTCAAGTTGAAAAGAAGTTGCAGTAAAGGGCCCGTCTCAAGACCCAGTTCTTCAATTGCGCCTTCGGTCACCCTCCTACCCCTGCCCTCTACCCCTGCCCTCTGCCCCTGCCCTCTACCCCTGCCCTCTGCCCCTGCCCTCTACCCCTGCCCTCTGCCCCTGCCCCTGCCCTCTGCCCCTGCCCTCTGCCCCTGCCCTCTGCCCCTGCCCCTCCTCTGCCCTCTGCCCCTGCCCCCGCCCCCCCCCCCCTCTGCCCCTCCCCCCCCTCCCCCCCCCCCCCTCTACCTCTGCCCCCCCCCCCCCCCCCCCCCCCCTCCCCCCCCCCCCCCCCCCCCCCCCCCCCCCCCTCCCCCCCCCCCCCCCCCCCCCCCCCCCCCCCCCCCCCCCCCCCCCCCCCCCCCCCCCCCCCCCCCCCCCCCCCCCCCCCCCCCCCCCCCCCCCCCCCCCCCCCCCCCCCCCCCCCCCCCCCCCCCCCCCCCCCCCCCCCCCCCCCCCCCCCCCCCCCCCCCCCCCCCCCCCCCCCCCCCCCCCCCCCCCCCCCCCCCCCCCCCCCCCCCCCCCCCCGCCCCCCCCCCCCCCCCCCCCCCCCCCCCCCCCCCCCCCCCCCCCCCCCCCCCCCCCCCCCCCCCCCCCCCCCCCCCCCCCCCCCCCCCCCCCCCCCCCCCCCCCCCCCCCCCCCCCCCCCCCCCCCCCTCTGCCCCCCCCCCCCTGCCCTCTGCCCCCCCCCCCCCCCCCCCCCCCCCCCCCCCTGCCCCTGCCCTCTGCCCCTGCCCTCTGCCCCTGCCCTCTGCCCCTGCCCTCTAGCCCACCTGCAACAACGCAGAGGTTGTTGTAAATAGGTTCAGAATTTTGTGTTTAGTTTGGAGTGTCACAGGACAGGAAGGAGATCGTGGAGATACAGAGGGTGGAGCACAGATTTACTAGGATGATGCTGTGATTGAGAAAAAATACATATGATGAGAGGCTGGTTAAATTGGGGGCGTTCTAATCAAACACAGGGGGTATGATGAGGTTTCATTAAGATTGTGAGAGGACATGACGAGCTAAATTGGTGAAAATTAATTTATTTTAGTTGGGGAATAGGTCACTAGGGGGCACTATTTCAGGATTGTGCTCAAATATTCATCATTCTTCCAGTTAAGACCTGAGATCCTGTCGCTCAGTGGTTAGAGCGCTCGCCTTGCAAGGGAAAGGACCTGGGTTCGATTCCCGGGCAGAGCGAAACCGTAGGCAAGTTTCCTTACTCCACACACACCCTCTGTTTACCTCGCAGTAAGCTGGAACCCAGCTTGGTGAATCGCTTTTTCAGGGGTAATAATCACTTCAAAAATGTTTTTAAAAATTTGATCGCTCAATTCATGACTGTTTGTGGGACACTGTGGTGCGCAATTGGCTGCACCGTTTCGCCAACAAAATATACAGTCAATTCACTTTACAGTATATTCTGTGAAGCCTTTTGAGACGTCTAGAAAACGTGTCTAGAAAACGTGATAAGGCGCTATATCAAATGCAACGATTAATGTTAGTATAGAAACAAATTTTCAGCACAAAAGACTTATTTGGTCCTTGTGTCTATGCTACTTCTGTTCTTTTAAGTTGTGCTATTAATTCATCCTAAGTTCCAGCTCTTTTCCCATATCCCTTCTCATGATCTTAACCAGGCTTCAACAACAACAACTTGGATTTATATAGCACCCTCCACGCTGGACGGCGTCTCAGAGCGCTTCAAATAATTGCTGATTCTATTTCAGAATTCGCTGGGAACACTTGGCAGGTCAGGCAGCATCTATGGAGAAAGGAAAGTGAGTCAGCTCTGACAAAGGGTCGTGGACCTGAAATGTTGACTCACTTTCTTTTCTCCAAAGATGCTGCCTGACCTGCAGAGGGTTCCCAGCCACTTCCGTTTTTGTTTCAGATTTCCAGCATCTGTAGTGTTTTGCATTTTGTTCCTGATTCAATTGATGCAATCTGAATAGTCTCAATAACAAAAATAGTCACATGTGGTCGGGCATTCAGCCACTCTGCCTCCACCCTTTGGAGCTCCATCCCACAGTCCCTTTGCCTTGCTCCCATCCTTGCCTCCTGCAAGGCCCATCTCAAGACCCAGCTCTTCAACCGTACCTTCGGTCACCCTCCTACCCCTGCCTCTAGCCCTCCTGATCCCAACACTCTGCTCAGTTCCAAATCCCTGACTGTCCAGCGCCTTGGGACATTCTCCCAAAGGCGCTGTATATATGTAATTTGTTGTTGGTTTTGTTCCAAACCCCAACAACAACTTACATTTATATGGCACCCTTCAAGCCGGGCGGCGTGTCAGAGCTTAACAGTGGCTGAGCCTGATGCCGAGCCAGGGGGAGGGGGAAGGTGACCTCAGGTAAGGTCGAAGAGGAAGGTTTTCAAGCGTGACCTGAAAATAGGGAGAGGGCGAAGGCGAAAGGATTGAGGGAGAGATTTCCACAGCTTCGGGATGTAGTGACCTACAAGGCCATTCACGGCCTCGCTCCCTCCTACCTCTCCAACCTACTATCCCCCTACCTACCTGCCCGTACCCTCCGTTCCTCCGGCTCCGGTCTGCTCCACGTCCCCCGCCCCAATCGCCCTACCATTGGTCGGGCCTTCAGCCTCTCAGCCCCGAGGCTCTGGAACTCCATCCCCCAGTGCCTTCGCCGCCTCCTCCCTTTCCTGCTTCAAGGCCGGTCTCAAAACCTTTCTCTTTGACCAGCCTTCAGCTCCGCTCTCGACTCTCTTCCCCCTTCTCGCTCCCTCCCTTCCCTCCCCTCACCATTTCCCCCCTCCTCGCTCCCTCCCCTCCCCTGACCATTTCCCCAATGCTCGGGTCATGACCCAACTGTGCAGCGCCTTGGGACGTCCTCCTGACGTGAAAGGCGCTTTATAAATGGAATCTTGTTGTTGTTGTTGTAGTGGCTGAAAGCACAACCACTGAAGGTGGGATGGAGTGTCCAGGGACAAGGAGGAGGCCGGAGCCAGTCCAGCAGAGGCAGCGGGTAGCTGTGTAGGGAGAAAGCAGGTTGGAGAGATGGGTGGGGTGTGGCCAGGGCGTGAAGAGATTTATTTTTATTTAAATACAAGAATGAGGATCTTGGAATCGATCCGCTCTGTGACAGGGAGTCAATGGAGTTTGACAAGGACTGAGGTACAGAGTTTATTGTGAGTGCGAATGTGGGCGGCGGAGTTTTGAATCAGGTGAATAGTGGAGCAGGGGAGACCGGCAAGGAGGGAGGTGACAAAGGCATGGACAAGGGTTTCGGTAGCTTTTGGAGTGAGGTACGGACGGAGGTGGGCAATGTGGCAGAGTGGAGGAGAGCCGTCCTGCCCAGGGACCAGATGTGTGATAGAAAGCAAAGCTGGAGGTCCAACCTGGTGCCTAAGTTGCACGCGGGTTTGGTGAGTCTTAGGGAAAGGGTGAGGTCTGAACCGCGGGAGAGAAGACGTAGACGGGAGCAAAAGAGCACGGCTTCCGTCTTGTCAACTTTCAGCTACAGGAACTTTGCACTCATCCAGACAACCTGACAGAACATTTGTGGTCTGGGAGTCTCAGCTGGAGGAAGAGAAGTAGATTTGTATGTCATCCGCATACATGTGGAAGTTTAGCCCATGTTGCGGATGACATTGCCGAGAGAGAGTATGTAGGTAAGAGGGGCCATCCCTCCAATCCCTAGAAATTCCTTCTCATTTCTCCATTGGTTCTGCTAACCAGAAATCATGTTAAACAAGTGAGTTAAGAGGCAACTTCTGGGACGTGTAACAGACTTTGTCTTTTTGTGTACTCGTGTATGGATCGCCATCTAGTGGGAGACATTCAGCACTGCAACACCTCACTTTATACTTGAACTCTGTAAGGAGTTGCACGTTTCGCATTCACTTCTGCAGTGAAACCTTTTTTAGTTTCTTCCACAAAATTAGTCTCTCAATGTACATTTGTGGAACTTTTGAGTACTGCTGTTCCTGGATTATTCCACCAAGCTTCTGATCTCCTCTTAGAGGAAGTAAAGGTGTTGAAGATGGTGTTGGGTGTTTGGTTTGAAAGTGACCCTTTGGTGACATTTTAGGCAGCATTGCTACTTGTCCAATGTGCGTGCCTTTATATTGCCAGGATTGGAGTCCTGGAGCTTAGTGGTTTGAGCACTCGCCTCGCAAGCGAGAGGACCTGGGTTCTATTCCCGGGCAGGGCGAAACGTTGGGCAAGTTTCCTTACTCCGCATGCCTCTGTTTACCCAGCAGTCGGTAGGAACCCAGTTGTTAGTCGATTGGCAGATCGGTTAAAAATCCCTTTTAAAAAAAATTGGTGGTCACTGAATCCACGACTGTTTGTGGGATGCTGCTGTGTTTCGGCCACAAAATATACAGTCAATTCACTTTACAGTATATTCTGT